AACAACAAAAACGAGAGAATAAGAAGTCTTTAAAATGTATTTTAAAAGCATTTGTGAATATTATTGAACGATATAAAAGAGAGAGAGAGAAGGAGAGAGGGAGGGAGAGAGAGAGAAGGAGAGAGGGAGGGAGAGAGAGAAGGAGAGAGGGAGAGAGAGAGATAATATTAGGTGACAAGCAAAACCAAGACAATCCCTACCTATTAGTAAATCGTTGACTTTAGGCCGCGAATCGACTCGTGTCTACTTATTGTCGTCGGGTTTTGAATGTGTCGCTAATGAATAGACTATGGGTTTTGAGTTGAAATAACAGTTGATTTATTTAATCACAGATAAGTATAGTATAGTCGGCAAAATCAGGAAATTAGTAGTGTTTGTGTGTCAAGAATGAGTATAAAACAAGAGTATACAACAATGTACTAAAAATGGTGTGCAAATGTGAGTCGCATTGGGGTTATATAGTGCGCCTCTACCTAATAGCAAGTGTCACTATTGGCTCATTTGGTTGAGTTGAAAAATAACTCTAACTATTGATTGGTTGAGTATCGCATACAATAGTACCGCCCAATGCGTATGGCATGACATGGCAAGCCTATCTTGCTATATCTTTAAACAATTATCATTATAATTTTGCTAAATTATGTTACCATGCATATATTGTACAATCATGTTGTTTATTATTTTAAAACAATCATGCATATATTGTACAATTATGTTGTTTATTATTTTAAAACAACCATGCATATATTGTACAATCATGTTGTTTATTATTTTAAAACAATCATGCATATATTATACAATCATGTTATTTATTATTTTAAAATACGAATTTTGGTACAGGATTGTACTGTAGTAGTTATAAAGTGTATACTTGCTAATTTTTAAAAATTACTATAGTTAGTTTTATTTTAAACAATATTAAATATTATTTAATATAAGCAAAAAATTATACAGGAATTTTTATGAAATAATTAGAAAGTCATTCATTCAAGGATTAATTTTAATATTTTTACAATAATAAATTTGTTTAATGAAAATACAATATCTTGTCATTAATTTACGGTTCAAATTAATTTTATATTAATTGCCATTTTAATGACAAAAAAAGCTTAGAAAATAACACACATTAGACAATTTTTATGTTTAAACACTGATTAAAAATATTTTTCTTTTTAGAAAATAAATAAATTTTTATTTCATTTACTTAGCTATTAATAATTATGCAATAAGTAACATTTGTATTATGTTGAAGTAAATTGATTAAAAATAAATTGAAATTAAAAATGTGTTTACATTTAATTGTCTAATATTTTAATACAAAATTATACTGTTTTTTTGTGTGTCGGTCGGGAAAAAAACAGCTACAATAAAATATCTATACTATCAAATTCTTGGGAGTTGTTTGATAACATAGATATTTGACTGTAACCGTAAAAAACCCAAACCGACAGCGAATATAGATTTTAGATAATAAAAACTTAAAAATTAATTAAAACTATAATATTTAATATTACAATTAATAATGATGTAAATAAAAACAATTTAAACAATTAGTCAATATATTTGCGCAGATTTTGCGCAAAATTCTCAATAAGTTGCGACACTTTTGCCAAACTATTATCGGTTTGTATTCTTCGGGAGACTTCGGCCAAGCGTTCAGCCAATGCTTTATTGTTGAGCAGAGTCTCGATCGCCGCCAACAGCTCCTCTTCCGAGCACTTGTATGCGTCCAGTCGTAGACCAAAGCCCTTGTCGTGAAGTCTCTGCGCGTTATCGTACTGTTCGCCGAACACAGGCATAGATATTATCGGTTTCCCGAAGTATAGGCTTTCGGTCACTGTATTTACGCCGCAGTGAGTTATGACCAGATCTACGAGCGGTAGGACTCGGATCTGTGGCACAGACTCCGCGCCCCACATATTGTCGCCCAGAGTGTACTCCTTATGCTTCGGACCCATCGATACGATGAAACGGTGCGGAGAATTGGCCAAAATGGCGACCAATCGGCGCATGTTTTGCACGTCGACCGGACAGAGAGAGCCGAACGAGAAGTAGACCAACTTTCCGGGCTTTGCGGCCAACTCTGGCGGCACAGCGAATGTCATGTGCCGTTCGGTGCGCTTAAAATGATCGAAGCGGACGTAATTGCGTCCCAACGGCCGAATGTCCTGATAGTCCAACTCCAAGGGATAGCCGTATATATGAAGATAACGCGATGGGTTGTGAAAGCAGAGTTCGGGCAGTGGTTCGCAGCCCCGGCCGACCACCCAATCGTTAAACTCCCGCCACTTCTCGCGCTTCACGTCTCTAACCAATTGGCGAAACTCGTGCCACAGTCTCGGGTCTCCCGTAGCGGAAAGTCCTATAAATTTGGCATTCATTTAACTCGCGGTAATTTTTGACTGCAATTTATTTAAGAATGAGTTGGGGT